AGAGAGAGAGAGAGAGTAGAAGAAGAAAGAGAGAGAAGGAGAAATGGATTGCTTGGTTGATTTTAAGGATTCGGTTCACACAATTGTGGGGCCTGATAAGTCCAAAATCTGTAGGACAGGCCAAGAGGGTGGAATCTCTACATTGGAGTCTTGAGGCAGAATTAACTTCTTTCTTTGAGAAACTTCAATTTTTGCTCTTAAGACCTTCAGCATTATGGAGGGTAATCTGCTTTACTTAAAGTCAACTGACTGTCAATGTTAATCATATCTAAAGACCTTCATAGCAACATCTAGACTAGTGTTTGACCAAACAGCTAGGCACCGTAGCCTAGCCAAGTTAACACAGAGTTAACCATCACAAGCTGGTACCTGGTTTCAGAATAAGTTTGGTGTCTTCCTTCAGGTGGGAGGGGGAGACTGCTTCTGGGAAATTGGCAGCCCTTCCTCCCTGCCCAATGTGTATGTTGCCCTTCTGCGTGGCTATCTTCCCATTCTGAACTTGGCTCTTGCTACCCAACAGTAACAGTAAAAATCAATGTCGCCTTGCTTTATACCTGGGTAAACACATTAATATTCACTGGCCAATTGATTTCCTGTTTTTCTTCTACTGTCTGTGTACCCTGTTTACCTGTGTCCTTTTTGCCTGGCCTAATTTAGATGGTAAGGTCCATCCTAATTGTGTCTACTGTATGCAACCTCACAGAGTGCCAAATGCCCAACAATGCATGTTCTTTGATCAATAATGAAATGAGTCTTTGTCATCCATGAAAACAAGTACAGCCCACATGCCCATGGCTGGACAAAGCCGGTGGACATACATGTAAGAAATAAGGCCCAACCATGAATAAGGCAGCAAGCCTGTGAGATGTGGCTCCCACTCTGCCCACCTCCCGTTTCTCCTGGTCGTGGCCCCATCACTGTTGGTCTGATAGCACCCTTTAGCACATGGACACTGAGCACTGTCTATGGACCAGTCTCTCTAAACAAGGTGCTGGAGACCCAGAGATGAATAAGCTTCATGAAACTTTCAATCCAGTGGGGGAGACAGACAGGTAAACATAATCACCACACATCCTAGGAGGAGCAGATGATCTCTCATCCCTCTCCCTGTAATAAGTCTCTGTTGGCAGCTCATTGTCAGGCAGAAAGCTGCTCAGCCACAAGAAAGGTGCTGGCTCTGTCCAGGCAGTACGGACACCCAGAGCTCCAGCTTGAGACAGGAGCCATTCCTGCTCTAAGTTGCTCAGCTTCCTGCCAAGAAAGTGGTCGTGCTTTCCGGATTTGTGCTGATTCTCCACCTGCAGCCACTTAGCGTAAAAGCACAGAGGACGCCACACACCTGAGAGCTGTGTTAGCAGTGGAAGCTGGGAGGAGGTGATGGGGCCCTGCTCCTTCCCAGTCTGGTTTCGCGCTTTGTCTGTGGAATGCGGTGAGGGTGTTTTTAATGGGGAAATGCTCATGAACTTTCAGGAAATCGTTCCGGGAGCTGACACAGGGAAGGAGTGGCAGAAGCTGGTGCAGAATGGACCCAGGAAAGAAGTTTTGGCACCATGGAGATTTTTCTGAAGGCCGTTCCCAGAGCCTCTTTAAATAGAAAGTTCATGCATTTTAAGGTTTGAGGTGGAGGAGGCTTGGTTTATTTCACCGTCTTGTTTTTCTGTTGCAGCGGGCAGCTTGTGCAAGCGGAAAAGTCCCGAATGTGACAGAGACACCTCCATCTGCACTGATCTGGATGGCATTGCTCTGTGCCAGTGCAAGTCGGGCTACTTTCAGTTCAACAAGATGGATCACTCTTGCCGAGGTACCTGCAGGCTCACTGGGCTTCTGTGGCCGGAAGCTGGGACAGAGGAGGACGCTTTTCTCTGCAGGCTTAGGGGCGCTTTTTCTCTCACTCTCCTGCTGTCTCTCTGCTAGAGATGTGACTGTTCTAAACCGGGGGCTAACCAGTTCTTGTTACTCGGCTCTCAGCAGGATTGAATACATTCTCTCCTTGGGACCGGTAGCATTATCTCTGACTGGCAAATCAAATCCAGAGGAAAAGCAAAGAGGATGAAATGCCTGTGGTGGCCTTTGCTTGCTTTCTTTTTTATTTTTTGCTTAAGAGGAAGTTAGAGAAATTATTGTTTTAATTCCCAAAACAAAAAACCAAACCCATGGCGACTGAGTCGATTCCGACTCATCGCGACCCTATAGGACAGAGTAGAACTGCCCCATAGGATTTCCGAGGAGTAGCTATTGTCTGCTAATCTTTTAAAATGGGGATACAAGCATGGAGCCAGCCCCATATCATTTAGAGGCAGTGGCTCTGTGGACAGAAGACGGAGGCTCAAAGACCTGAGCCAGAGCCTGGCTCTGCCTCACTGATCATGTATCATCTTGGGCAAGTTGCTTTGCTTCTCTGTGCCTCAGTTTCCTCATCTATGAAATGGGTATAATAATACTTCATTGGTTATTCTAGGACATAAAGAAGGCAGTGTATATGTAAGGACTTTGTAAGCCGTCAGCTCTTGTATTTTACCCAACTTGTTGTTAAAGTAATGAGTTATGATTTTAAAGTTTCATAAATGTTTGAGAGCAGAAATTTAATTCTCAAACCTTTTAGGTGAGGCTTAGCATATTTTTACACACATAACGCATGCCTTTTACGTTTGTTTGCCAACCGCGCCCTCCCCTGCAAGGTAGTTTTGTAAACACACTATGCTAATTTTTTTATAGCAACATGTAAAACAAAATAGGTATAGCGGCACTTGTGAAAATACCTCATAGGAGAGGGTGCCGTTGGCAAACAAATGTAGAAGGTGCGTGCAATTTGCATAAAAATATGGTAAATACATTTAGTTTGAGATCAAGACTGCTCAGTAAGTGTAGTGCAAGAATAAAACCAAACCAGTTATTGTGGAGTCAACTCCGATTCATGGCGACCCCATGTGTGTCAGAGTAGGTGGTTTCCAATGGCTGATTTTTCCAAAGTAGATCGCCAGGACTTTCTTCCAAGGCACCTCTCCGGGGACTCGAACCTCCGCCTTTCAGTTAGCAGCTGAGAGCATTAACCATTTGCACCACCTGGGAATACTGATTCAAAATAAAATTAACTCAGGTCCAGAGCACAGTGTACCCTGATTTATAAAAGGCTGTTGAATTCTGACCTCCTGGATTCCTGATCACCAGAAAAGCTAGCACAGTAAAGGGCATAATGCAGTCTTAATCACTGTGTCACCTCAGAATGCGTGGCAGTTTCCCTGCTCAATCAACACCTTGGCTGGTGACAGATCCATTTGAATCTGAGTCAAAATTGCATACTGGGGGAAGGTGACATGCCTCTTATTTCTGTCAGGGCTTCCCTTCAGAGGATTTGTTCCGTCAGGAGAGGATAAAAATACATTTGAGGGCAGCACCCTCATCCTGAGCTTCCGACTCTGTGACGTTGGTAGGCTTACGTACAAAGTTCTTTTAAAGGTTGCACATTCTCAGCTTTCCACGCAGTACCTGGATAGATTTTAAAGAGGAGGGCAGATGCCCGTGTTGGGCATCGGTCCTGATGCGTGACTGGTTCACAGCGTTTCTCAGCGGCGTGTCAGACTGCCGTGGGCCTGTGGTGACCTTGGCTCTGGATGTACATACCGCGTGAGGGGTGGGAGGTTCCCTGCTTTACCACAAGGCGATAATGCCTCCTAATCCCATCTTATCTGGTTTAATGCAAAGTGTTTCTCACCCTTCTTAGAAACTGGGGACTTGAGCCCCGTTTCACATGGGAAGGTGACCTTGGCTGAAATCCATGTGGGGCGCTGTGCTGCTGGCTGGAAGGAAAGGCATGGCAGGCAGAAACGTGGATGTGTAGGAGCTGTGGTCTCTGTAAGCGTTTCGTCTGGGGTTTCTAATGACTTTAAGAACGGCCCTGCCGTCTTTGCTTCTGGCTGTGCTCAACTGTTGTTGTTATTAGCTGCCATTGAGCCAGCCCCCTACTCCTGACGACACCATGCACCGTGAAACAGTGTGCTGCTCAGTATGCACCATCTCCATCATCAGCTGTGGATCAGACCCTTGTGCACCACAGGGTTTTCACTGGCCAATTTTCAGGTGTAGATTGCCAGGCCTTTCTTCCTAGTCCATCTTAGTCTGGAAGCTCTACTGAAAGAAACCTGTTCAGCATCACAGCAATGTACAAGCTTCCACTGACAGACGGGTGGTGACTGTGCCTGAGGTGCCTTGGCCAGGAATTGAACCTGGGTCTCCGTCATGGAAGACAATAATTCTACCACTGAACCACCACTGCCCTGTTCGCCTGAGCTACTTCCCTCTATTTCCAAATCATCTACTTCATAATTAGCTCACTTACAGGCTAGCAATAGCAGAGTGGTCAGAGATTTACCAAATGCAAATGACACAGGCACTAACAAGCTACATTTATCGAGTAATGACCCAAAAACAACATAAAGAAACCTTGGTTAGCTTTTGGGCCTGTTGCTGAGGCCCCATGAAGCTGCTTCTCGGCAGTAGCCTTGTGGGTTAGATTTCCAGTCTGCAGCGATCAGACCTCTGATGGGTGGACTCTGGAGCTCCTTGGACTCGGCCCTGTCGGCTGGGTTCTGCCGGATTAGCAGTGACATCTTCTGGCCATTGGTGCTGGAGCACAGGGTTACATAAAAAGATTCCCCTTTTGGACAACTCAAATCTGGAGTCAGCTCCCTGTAGAAATGGTGGAGAGAGGTGTGTGTATGCTTGTTCTAAATCACTGCAGTTCACAGCTGTCCATTGGCAAGTTTTTATAGCATTCTGTCTCTCACACACACACACACACACACACACACACACACACACACTTCTAAGTCTCTCACATAAAATGTCTTTACAGTATCTTCACCATGCTTTCAAAGCTTCGTATAAAATTCAAATAGATGTCTTTCCCCCAGGTTTCATAGCTTTCTTCCATCATGCAGGTATCACAATAAATTCCAACGGCCTGTTCGCATGTCTCTTTCTCACCAGACCGCGAGTGCCTTGAGAGCCTGAACTGTATCTAGAATTGTGCTTAGCACCGTGTAGTTTCAACAAGTGTTCGTCAAATGAACACATGAATGATAAGGCAGCACAGATGATAGGAAAAGACTGGCTGGTCTTGTCTGGGTTTCAGTTTCATGGGACAGATCGCCTGCAAGGAGACAAAAGTTTTTAGTTTTACTTATTTTTTTTTTAAAAGACCAGGAAGTGTAAATTTGCTTGTGGCCATATCAATAGGGGAGGCCCCATTTTGGCATATCTGCTGGTTTTTGCCACATTCCTTTCACCGTGAGTGCTCTGTGGGTCATCAGAGTTTCCGTGGTGTGGATGAGAAGCTGAGTCTCAAGGAGGTTGGAATTTCCCTCGGAGCGCTCCTGGAGCGGTGCCAGGCATACAGTAGCACTCAATCTTTGATGAATGACTGAATGAGCACATTCGAAATAAATAAATATCATTACACTAGAGAATCAGGCCACTTCTGAAGCTAAATGAAAACGGCCCAGCCCGCCAGCTCCCAGGCAGGACCACAGATGGACCTGACGTCCAGCTGGATGACAGCCAAGGAGTGGAATGCTCCCGCTCAGCGGATGAGGCTGGGTGGGTAGATGTGATGTAGGAAAGTTTCCAGGAAGAAGTGTTCTGCATAGGACAGCTGGCATGATGTCAGCCTGCTCAGTGCTGAGCTGGGTGGGGATGAGTCCCTGGAGAAGCGAGCAGGCCCTGTGGGGTTGCCCCGCAGATGGAGGCTGGGTCCAGGGACAGCTCCTTCTGCTCCCATGACCCTGCCCTAGCACGAGGCAGAGCAGCACAGAGTGGGGAGGGCCGACTGCCAGGGCGTGGTGATTTCTACCGCAAGAGAGGCAGGGGCACTCAACTCGTTCCATAGGGAAGGCCCAAGTGTGGCCAGTGGAGAACTCAGAGGTATCAAAGATTTAGGGGATGGGGCCTTGTTACTTCTTCTCTAAATGGGATACGATTACGTATGCCCAACATTATTGCAAAAAGGATTTGAGGCATCTAATGAAAATCATGCCATAAAACAAGATTTTAAAATATTTAAAAGGTAAATCTGATTGAAGGGGAAAGAAATGGCCTACTTTGTTGAGGCTAGAAGGAAAGTGAATGTGCAGAAAGATGTACCATAAGAAGCTGCATGTTTGCTAAAGATGGGCAGTCATTCACGTTCTGAGCTTCCTAGACGCTTAGGCAAAGAGGGAAACAAGATTTTGAGACGAGCTGGGGCCCTCATACAAAGTATAGTGGTTCAGGAGCATCCCTATCTTTCTGGGCATTGAGGCTCCAGAGAAATTTCTCTGGGGTGTTGTCATCAGGAGGTTACTGAGCAATAGTGTGGCAACATGGCCCATGACATCCCTGCAGTAAACGCTGCAGGGAGGTTCCCACGGCTGATCCTTATTGTTGTTCTTGTCTATTGCTGTTGAGTCAATTCTAGCTCATGGCAACCCCATGTGTGCTGAGTAGAGGTGCCCCATAGGGCTTTCAAGGCCTTTCGGAAGCAGATCACCAAGGCTGTCTTCCAAGGTACCTCTGGGTGGGTTCGAACTGCCAACCTTTCGGCTGGTAGTTGAACGCTTAACCCTTTGTGCCACCCAGGGACTCCTGGTCCTTGTAATAAATAGCCCTTAACTGTAAGAGAATGTTCCTTAGGAAAAGTGTTTCTGTGGAGCTGAAGCACTGCAGTTTAGGTTCACAGCTTCCTAATGATCTTGTTATGAGATAAGTTATAGATTACTTAGAACAGTATTTTCCAAACTGTTCTACAAAACTCAAAAGTTAATAGAGTCTTTGACAATGAAATACATGCTAAAAATACTAAACTTCTACTGCTAAAAAAGTAGATAGGAGAAGAATATTAAACGTGTCTATGCAGTTAATATAATCCACTAATCTTCTGTAAGGGGCAGTGGCAGCTTAGCGGTAGAATTCTGGACTTCCATGCAGCAGAGCTAGGTTCGATTCCTGGCCAGTGCACCTCATGAGCAGCCACTGTCCATCTGTCGGTGGAGGTTTGTGTGTTGCTATGATGATAGACGGTTTCAGCGGAGCTTCCAGACCAAGACAGCCTGGAGATCTACTTCCCAAAATCAGCCAGTGAAAATCCTACGGATCACAATGGTCTGATCCACAACCCATCACGGGGATGGTGCGAGACCGGGCAGGGTTTCATTCTGTTGTGCATGGGGTCACCATGAGTCAGAGGCCAACTTGACTGCAGCTAACAACAACCACATCTCCCACAATGGAGGAGGCCAGGAAGTCTCAAGAGAGATCTCCAGACTCGGCCTGCAGGGCGTGCACCCTACGCCGGCACTGCACTGCACTCACAGCTTGCATTTGCAGTATGTTGTCTGTTCAGGGGGTTGCTGCTCTATGCTAGCTACCTTTTTTTTTTTTTTTTTTTGCAAAAAGATATATCGTAAGGGCCTGCATGTTTGCAAAAAGGTGATCTTTTATGCAGTCCGTAGCTTATATTAATCATGAATCAAATTTTTATCATTCCTTGCAGCAATGAATTTGTCTCTGAGGCCATTTTTTATTGTCTGCTTTCATCCAAGCATCTACAGTATCTCATAGTGTTCTGTCAGCTTATTGCAATGTTGATAGTGTTCTGTGATCAGATTAATCTGGGAATTGCTGATCCAGGGGGTCTGGCTCAACTGCAGGCCCTTCAGTGAAGCAATGTTCTATGAGCAGCACAGCCAGAGTGTTGAAAGTTATGTCTTCGGGCTGATGCCGATCGGGGGCACACCTAGATATGTCCAGAATCCCCTGAACAGACCACTGAGTGAGAATTCTCTTATGAAAATGGGGGTATCTACCAGGACCCTGGCCCAGAAGATGCCACCTGTAGTTCCCATCTCCTCATGGAACGGGGCCAAAGGTGTTGGTGTCAGGCCGATGTCTCTGTATATAAGGAAGGATGTCACACAGAGGACATTCTTCATCTCTAGAGAACTTAGGAAAAAGAATTGCATTTGCTGGACAGTAATTACAACTGCAAGTACTTATTTGGTGGTTATTATGTGCCAGGTACTGTGCTAAGCCATGTGCATACCTTATTTCGCTTAATCCCCTCGAAGAAACATATAAGATAGATATTATTATTATTATCCTCTTTTTACAGATGGGAAACTGAGAGCCACAAAGAGATTAACAAAAATTTCTTGATTAAGAGTTGAGCTGGCAGCAGTATTTCAGCAGGTTATAGATAATCCTAAAGCTATTTGTAGCCTTCTGATTCTAGAATATTCTTGCAGACTTTAGGGTGGCTGGAGTTTAACTGGAGTCCTGGTGGTGCAGTGGTTAAGAGCTCAGCTGCTACCCAAAAGGTTGGCAATTACAAATCCATCAGCTGCTCCTTGGAAGCCCTATGGGGCAGTTCTACTCTTTCCTATAGGGTTGCTATGAGTTGGAATCAACTTGATGGCAATGGGTTTGTTTGGTTTGGAGTTCAGTTAACTGTGAGTTTGGGTGGAGGGAGGTAAACAAAACCATTCGTGGATTTTTCTTTTCTCTTTCAGCATGTGAAGATGGATATAGGCTTGAAAATGAAACCTGTATGAGGTGAGGCTCCATGTTCGTTTATTCTGATGAATTTGTTGCAAACCTTACTTAGAAATTACTTAGGTAACTTGCCTTCTTTCTTTTGAGATTTGAAACTAATTCTTGTTCTTTTTTTTGACTTGCAGTTGCCCATTTGGCCTTGGTGGTCTCAACTGTGGAAACCGTAAGTATACAGAATTCTAGAGCCCTCTCAGGCCAGGGCTTGGCCTGTCGTTAATGCTGAGGATGTTAGTCTCCTCCTGTTTCCCTCAGTCACATCCTCTGCCTTCTCAGGTCCTGCGCTAGGTGGTACGGGGAAAACAGAGGTAAACGACTTGCTTGGTCCTCTAGGGGCTCAGGGTCTGGTAGGGGAGATAAACACATTCCTGAATAACCCCTACTGTGCTAATGCCCTGAGTGTTAATACAGTAAATAAGGTGTGAGGCAGGGAGGGAGGGACCATCCCCAGAGGAGAGTGGAAGGACATCAGTGAATGGCTCTTGGAGATTTTTAGGAGGTTTTGAAGACGTTGCTGGCAGGTATGGGGAGAAGGAAAGCCCAGGTAGAAGAAGCAAGTTAAACAAAGGTCTGAGGCAGGTGTGGGCCGATGGAGTTCTGGAGACGATGCGTGAATGGGTGTAGCTGGAGTGTAGAATGAAGGAAAAGGGGGAAATGAAGGATTAGCTTGGTGAAGTATATGGGGACCAGACTGTAGGGGTTTTTCAGGCTGAGGAGTTTAGACACTAACCACTGGGGAGTGTTAGAGCAGGAAAACAGTTTGATCAAGGAAATCAAGTTGGGTTGCCGTGAGGAGGATAGACTGGACAGAGGAGACCACGAGGGCAATTTATACCAGTTGCCGTCGAGTTGATTCTGACTCATAGCAGCCCCATGTGTGTCAGAGCAGAACTGTGCTCCATAGGGTATTCAGTGGCTGATTTTTCAGAAGTAGATTGCCAGGCCTTTCTTTTGAGGTGCCTCTAGGTGGACACTGAACCTTTCACTTAGCAGCTGAGTGCGTTAACCATCTGCACTCCCCAGGGTCTCCTAGAGGCAGTTTAGAGACTTCCAATACAGTCATGGCCAGGAGTTAGGGCTAGAGACGAACTCAGGAGTCGTCTGCTCCGTTACAGTTCCTGAAGTACAGAGGAGAGATTGCAAAGAAGTCCAAGAATGTTGGTGGTGATTGCTTGGATAGTGTGTTTCACAACCTAATTCAGTTGTTTGAGAAAATAATTGTGATACAACTATTTTCACTAACGTTTTCTTATATTGAGACCTTAGAAACTGAAAATCACCTTCAGAATTATGAAAGAAATATTTTGGAATAAAAACTCAGTACTTTATTTTAGGATAGCTTTGTAATGGAGCCCTGGTGGCATAGTGGTCGGCAGTTCGAATCCACCAGGCGCTCCTTGAAAACCCTATGGGGAAGTTCTACTCTGTCCTATAGGGTTGCTATGAGTTGGAATCAACTCAACGGCAGTTTGTTTGTTTGTTTGTTACTGAGGAACGTGCCAGTATTAAATATCCTAAGTTTACTCGACCAAGACTAGATATGATTTGACTTAATGTGTATAAAAGCTCTCAGTTTCTGTTCCCAAGCGGTAAAAAAACAAACCCAAATCCATTGCCATCAAGTCAATTCCGACTCATAGTGACCCTACAGGACAGGGTAGAACTGCCCCATAGTGTTTCCAAGGAGCGCCTGGTGGATTCAAACTGCTGACCTTTTGGTTAGCAGCCATAGCTCTTAACCACTATGCCACCAGGGTTTCCACCCAAGCAGCAGACCTTACATCTTATGTCCTCAATGCTATTTTCTTCGTCCATAAAGCTTTCCTATCAGCAGATTTCATTACTGGATCGAACTTCCTTTGAACATAAATAATAAATAAAATAAATCCAATGTCCTAGTTAACAACTTTTGTTGCAGTACTTTTTATTTGTAGAATTTATGCAGACTTAAAACTTTATAATCAATACAGTCTACATTTATTTTTTCCAAGAATATTTTGTGTGACCCTTCATCGAAAGTCACTAATTTTGTGACACTGAATATAAAATAAAAGCCATGAATTTAACTGGCACAATCTTTTCTTTAAAACATATATTATTTTTTCCTTGATCCTATCTTCTTCTACATTTTGAGACAGTCTTTCACTCCTATGACTTAAATTTTGCTAACAATTCTGAGAGTCATACTTTGTGTGTGTGTGTTTTAGGTGAAAGTTTGCAGTGCAAATTAGTTTCTCATTCAAAAATTTATACACAAATTGCTTTGTAACATTGGTTGCAACCCCTACGATGTATTCGCACTCTCCCCTTTTCCCTTTATACCCCAGGTTCCATGTGTCTGTTCATCCAGGTTTCCTATCCCTTCCTGCCTTCTTGTCTTTGCTTTTGGGTCGGTGTTGCCCATTTGGTCTCATACACTTGATTGAACTAAGAAGCACATTCCTCAAGCGTGTTATGTTTGTTTTATAGTCCTGTCTAATGTTTGGCTGAAAGGTGGACTTTGGGAGTGGCTTCAGTTCTGAGTTCTCAGAGTGTCCAGAGGCCATGGTCTCAGGGGTTCCTTCAGTCTCTGTCAAACCAGTAAGTCTGGTCTTTTTTTTGTGAAGTTGAGTTTTGTTCTACATTTTTCACCCAGTCTGTCCAGGACCCTCTATTGTGATCTCTGCCAGAGTGGTCGGTGATGGTGGTGGTGGTAGCCACATGCCACCTAGTTCTTCTGGGCTCAGCCTGCTGGAGAGTCATGCTTTTAAAAGGTGCCTTTTTTGAACAGCTTCCTTAATACTTTGTCTTAAATTATCTCAATCAGTTGTATATATTCTTAGGATGCATGTGTTGCTATCTGGACTTGCGGTATTTCTGTTGCCACCCAGGTTATATATTTGTATGCATTTGAATTTTAAAGGAATTTTAGCCAGTAGTTGGTCTTTATTTCCTTCAAATTGCTTCTCCTCCTATATCTGAGGTTCAGAGTCCCAGCTACTCTCAGGTGTCAGTGACTTGACTTGCAAGGTGTGACCCTGGAAAGAAGCAGAACAGTTTTCTGGGTACAAACCAAACCCGTTGCCGTTCAGTTGATTCTGACTCGCAGAGATCTATAGGACAGAGTAGAACTGCCCCATAGGGTTTCCAAGCCTGTAATAGTTTATTGTTTTGTTTTTTTTTTAGTTGAGGGAAGATGTTACTTTGTTTTGCTCAGAATTTTACCAAGAATTATTCACCAATTCAGGAAATCACGTGACTAATAGCAAGGCTGCTGTGGTCTCTACTGAGTTAGCCAGTCCCAAGGCTGTAATCTTTACAGAAGCAGACTGCCACCCCTTTCTCCCTCAGAGTGGCTGGTGGGCTCAAACCGCCAACCTTTTGGTTAGCAGCTGAGCGCTTAACCACTGTGCCACCAGGGCTCCCTCCTGAGTACAGAACTGCTGTAAAACTCTCCCAGTGTCCCCAGCCAGAAAGGCAGGGAGCCACCTTCAGGCCAGAGTCTAGGGACTCGGAATTACATGTACATTTATGATCCCTGATGAGCAGGGTCATTTGATTCCTCATGACCACACAGTAGCGAGAGGTTACAGCAGACAGCCTAAGACTCGGAAAGCACATCTAGAAGCAAATGTATTCAAAAGTCATACCGAATAGAGAGGGAGGAGCCCACAGAATTAATGTTTACCAAAAAAAGGTAGTAACCTGAGGCCACTTAGTGGTTGAGTAAACAACCCTATATACTCTTTAATAGACTCTAAGGACGTCACGGTGCCGTAAAACCGTATAAACACAGACATTTATTACGATGGACCAAGTGATTCACGGACATTAAATGATTTTAGTGTAGTCAGCTTAATAAAGCAAGAAGTATATCATACCTTAGATTTTTTAGAAGTTAAAACGTGGTCAAGGTGATTTTTTAGTGTCAGCGCTTAAAAGGGTAAGCGTCAGTTATTTGGAAATTTAGCTAGATGGCAATAAAAATCACTATATCACTATTTAGCCAAGCTAGTTTCTCAACTGGGTTCAGAGACTTTGTGCCTTTGTGTTTAGGAAGATATCTGTTCTTTCAAGGGGCTGTCTGGGGTACAGAATTACACTTGTTCATTTTTTAGCATGAATCCCATTCCTTACTCAAAACCAGAACTGACCCACATAGATCCCTGAAACTGATCAGAGAATGGAGTAGCCTGCACACAAAAATAGACTGAAGAAACCCCAAACTTTTCAATGTGGAAAAAGAAGGCTAAGTAATAAAACAAAAAAAATTCAGATATTTTAGACTTGCTTAGCAAATGCTGGAATACTAAACTGAAGTGGTATTGTCTTTTAGAAGAGATGGTTTTAGGGTTAATAGCAGTGATTCCACCCAGAGCCCTAAGTCTGCAAGCCTTTTCCAAAGACATTAAGTATTAAAAACAAAGGGGCTTAAATAATTTCATGGAGGGTGGATTAAGAAGAAGGGAGAGAAGAAGGTTCAAGGTAGAGCAGAGTTGCATCATATGTGTAAGAAGCACACTTGAACCCAATCCCATGTGGATGGCAGAGAAAGACAGGCTGTCAGACAAGGTCTCCTGGGCGTGCCTGGGGGTGAGCCAGGGAGCTGGCGCTGAGAGATGAGGATCTGCCAGCCCTCCTGGGGTCTCACATAGAGTGAGCCAGTGCCACTTTAAATCTGTTTTGCTTAAACATCTCCCTGAAAAAGTTTCACTAGAAAATGCTTCATATTTTTCAGTGATTGGAAAAGTGACCTAAAAATGGAAAAACGAGTCTATAAAGGGTTGAAATAAAGGGGAATGAGCTGCAGGGCATTCTTCTAAGTGGCATTCACTGGTTTTTTTGGTCAGTGGTAATTAAATCCTATATTTACCTGAAGATGATATAACTTTACATCCACTGACAATTCTGTAAGTGCTTATGTCGGAAAGAAGATAATCTTCCCCGTTATGTTTGTGGGGTCCTGGAGGTATCTAGGATTTCTCTCTGATCCCTGAGACTTCTTTTCTCTTCCCTGTTTGTCCAATCTGGAGTCCCTGGGTGGTGCAAACAGTTAACACACACAGCTGCTAACCACAAGTTTGAACATTCAAGTCCACCCAGAGGCATTTTGGAAGAAAGGCCTGGTGATCTATGAAAAATCAGCCACTGAAAACCCTATGGAGCACAGTTCTACTCCGACAGATG